ATTTTAAAATTAGGTTGTATCTTTTTATCAGTGAGTTGTAAGACCTCTTTGTGTTCTGGTTATAGATATCACTGATCAGTAAGAAAAACCTTTTTCAGAATCCCGTACAAGCTACCCCTACTTATTTTTGGCCATAATTATGGCACATGCCCAAGGCTAAAGTAGTCACAGTTCAAAAGAATGAGACCATCATGATTGGTTTTGATTTACCTCATGGGGTTGGAGACGGAGGGGTTCAGGTTCCACTCAAGTATGTGACTTGGCTATGTAGACTGTATATATCTTTATTGTAAATTTTTAATGTATATTTTTATTGAATTTTTGCGCATTTCATATAAAACATCTTAATTCTCTTTATACCCCCTCCTCCATCTGCACCCCCTGTATAGCCCCTCACTGGATTTCATGCATTCTGTCATGCTAAGGCCTATTAAGTCAAGTTAGTGTATCCAGATGTGTCTCATTGCAAGTTCATCCACTGAGGTCTAGTCAGCCTATCTGGAGTCTCTCCCTTAAAGAAAATCAACCCTTCCTCACCCAGCAGTAATCAGCTGCCAATAGTTCTTAGGCTAAGAGTGGGGCCTACTGTTCATTTCCCCAGTTCTACCCTGGGTTTTGTCTGATTAGAGTTTGCATGGGCCTTGTGCATGCTGATACCATTGCTGTAGTTTCATAGACTGTATATTTTACTAATGGTGGCTTATGTAAGGAAGAAGAGAATGGCTTTCAGTAGGCAACTTTACCAGGGTAAAGTTGAGACAAAACAAGAAAATTTGAAGAGGCTGTATTTATAAAGGCACCTGGGCTGTGATCACATTGAAGGCTTGAAGGAACAGAATGGAGGGTGAATCTATGGGGTGCAGGCAGAGATACCAGCACAGGAGCCAGTGAGGTCTAGCCCTGATACTCACTGCTGTTTTGTTTTTTCAAATTTTTTATTTATTTATTTTTTTGTGGGGAGAGAGAAGCTATGGTTTTCTCTGCTACTGTTTCTGTCACCGCTGATAGCTTATTTTCTCTTCTAAAACATACTTAATCTACTGATGTCTTGGTTACTTTTCCTCTTGCTATGATAAAATAACCTGACAAAGCAACTTAAGGGCATAAAGAATTTATTTTGGCTCACAGTTCAAGGTAAGAATCTACCATAGCAGGGAAGTCCTATTGGCAGGCTCTTGAGGCAATCAGTCATGTTCTATCTGTGGTCACAAAGCAGAAAATGGTGGGTGTTGTTCCTCAGCTGGTTTTTTCCTTCTTATTTGGTCTAGGACCCCAGCTCAGGGAATGGTGGCTCCCAGCTTGGATGGGTCTTATCTCAACCTAATCTAGAAAATCCCCTACAGGCATGGCCAGAGGCATATCACTGGTGATTCTAGATCTTGTCAAGTTGAAAATCAATGCTGACCATCACGACTGAGCTGACATTTCTCTATTTCTATTTTCAGTGCTAAATGGAATTATCTCCTGGATACTTCCAAATTGTAATTTCAGTGCGATGGAGTGTGATGGAGGATAAATAAATGAACTAAATTTGGCATTTTGAAGTGTAAACTCCCATTTTAATGCTTATTTCAAAAATATAATTGAACTCATATGCAGTTGTGTAGCCTATTTTTTTCATTTTAACATAATATTAAAAGTATTTATTGGCCAGGCGTGGTGGCACACGCCTTTAGTCCCAGCATTCCCGAGGCAGAGGCAGGCGGATCTCTGTGAGTTGAAGGCCAGCCTGGTCTACATAGTGAG